CATGACTTCATCGGCTAAACAGATGGTAAGCATGATATATATGATTGCCTGAAATAAAACCATCTTACAAGTTGGCAAAGGTCGAGCAGTCGTCCATTCATGTTGCCATGCAAGTATCTGAGTCTCGATAGTTTTGATGACAATCAGGTAATCGCAGTCAGTCTGTAAACCGGACGGGGTATTGGTGCCCGAATACAGGAAGTCTAAGCTCCTGGATACAATCCGCTGTAATTCCTGGTAGAGGATGAGATCCAACTATGCATTAAAGTTCACGATAAATGAATACGCACGACGGATGCTGCTAAAGCAGTATCACCTGGTTGTCCAACGGGGGACTTCAACCACTGCAGTGCATTGCGGATTACAAAGCTGGTGGATTCAACAATTAGATATGAAAAATAGAAACGATGCCAACTTACTCCTCTTTGATAGAATGAGGCTTTCCCATTTGAGAACTCACGCTTCTGTCGAGAGCAAAGCACAGGAGCCATGTTCGCTCACGGTTGTGGACCTCCTTGTCCCGAGCCCGACCCTCTGGCGTATCTTGCGCGGTCATCGTTGTCTTCCGATGCAGGTTCAGGTCTGTCGCCATCCTGAATGATAGACGTCACTAAGTACAAACTGTCGGTAAAATGGAGAGATACGAACCTAATGGCCATTCCCAGCAACAACCAAGTTTTGTCGTACTCATAGCGCTCTACAGCACCGCATCCCCAAAGAGTGAGGAGGAGATATGCCTGTACGATTTCAAGGGATTTATAACCTTTGGCAGGTACGCTAAACGCGAGCTTCTGTGCAAGCTCTGCAAGTTGCTGGTGGAGGTCCGGTCGCTGGGTGTAAAACTTCGATGATATCGCACAAACTGCGAAAGATAAGTCGTTGCACATATGAGGAGTTGTAAACTTACTGGTTGTCAGTAAAAATGGCGAGCGGGAACAGACAAGCGAGGGAGTGTGGAACTCTCTATCAAAGAGTTCGCAGTGCACCTACAAAGGTTATTTAGATACCGCATGACGTGATCATACGTAGTACGAACGTTCAGATGATCAAAAAAGCTAGCAGGCGATCAGATCGGCATCACAATGTATGACACACAATACTCACATATCAAACAACGCAACCACTTGCTCGGTGCTAACAAAGCTCAGCATCTCGGGCTGAATTTGCCGTTCGATATACAAGCGCCGCAGGGGGAGTATTGTCATCGGGCCTGCAACATTGCCAATTTGCCAAATAGACAACGTGCGAAAAGGTAGCTACGAACCTGGCCTAAAATAATTATCACTGGCCACGCCCACCTTGTGGTCAGGATCGGGGTCGGCTGGGCGCGCTGAGAACGAGGACGAGATGCCCTGGGCGCGTCGGTTTGCCAAGCTAGCCTCGGCAAGCAGCCCGAGGGGATTAAGGGAGTTATCGGGGAGACAATGGAGCTTTGGGGAAGCAGATGCATTGGCGCTTGATGATGGTGGATAAGCAGACTGGGGAGGAGGCGATGGTGAGTCCAAAAGCGCCTTGGTTTGTGCAGCTTGACTTGTCGGGGAAGGTGATCTTGATACCATGCCAGAGACCATACTCGGGTTACCGATGGACTTTAAAACAGTGTCCAGAGTTTTCTCCATCTTCTTTAGAGAACGAGAGAGGAGCTCGTGTTTCCTTGGACTTTATTTTGAGTGTTGGCTATTTGTGCGAGGTATATGGAATTGAAACATACTTGTTGGACCGTTTGCCTCGATTGGATTCCTCAAATACGCACTCGTGGCTCCCAGCAGTGCAGCGTTTGCAAGGGGGGCCTTGCTCAGCGCCAACGCACTTCATTTTTAGACGCCGACAAACCGTGCACGCGCTAAACAGCATTGTTACGGCTCATGCGATCTAAAGGAGATGGGTGAGCTCACCGTGAACCCCTGGTGGTCTTTGGCTTCGGTTCGTCCTTATCAGCAGCAGGACTGTGCCCATCTAAGCTGTCCTCTGAGCGTGCTTTTTTCCTGCTGCTCTCGCCCATCGCACCGACGAGGGAAGAGGAAGGTCTCTTTCCGTTTGAATTGCCAGGTGAGTAAGAGAGGTTGTCGTTTGGAGGTGTACCCATTGTGTCCGATCCTTGTGATGATGGTGAAGATAAGTTCTGAGGGACTGTAAGATGGTGGGTGAGGTGCTGCTGAGGCTGTTGATATGTGTAGTAGGGGGGATAAAGCGATAAAGCTGGGTCGATTTGGGGGGAACGAGCAGGAGGCATGTTGGATTGAGGGATAGCGTGATCCTGATGGTGCATGGATATGATGTAGTCAAACCTTGCGGAAGAGTCGAGGTGATACTGCGGATAGCAGGGAACGGGCGACAATGGCATAAGCATTATGTCTGTAAGGGGAGATAACATATGATGGGAGCATACCTTGTAATACTTTAAAACCAGAAACTGAAACTGACAATACTGAAGCACCTAGGAGACTGAACCGCGCGGAAAGTCGCTGTTATGCGCTCACACACACGAGCGGAATGGGACGGTTCCACACAAGGAACGAATAGTCAACCAAACTAGGGTACTAGATGAATTTGGAGTTGTTCAGTATCAAGTCACCAAAAAAAATTAAAGGGACTGCGACCCACGCAAAGAGGACAAGACCGCCCACTCACGAACCTTCAAACTTTTCTGTCAAAAGGAAAATTAAAATCCCCAGGACAATTCACGAATAACACTGAATCCGATGAGAGACTCGGATTTCAGCGCTTCTTGGTCTTCACCCCTCTGCGACCTCTTCGCCTCAACGCATCTTCGGAGTTTGAAAATAATTCAGGCAATGCATCCGCGTGCTCGTTTCTTCCTTCTGCTTGGTGCCTGCTGTTATCCCAGGGTCACAAACGGCCCTCATAACCGCGAATAATCTCAAGGGCTTCGAATAGCAGTGTCACGCATCAACAGTCTATACACAAATCGGACGTCCCCTCAAACCTTGGTCCGGTCTAGACCTCCTCTATCTATGTACAAAGATAGACAACACTCGGAAATTGAGTAGCTCCATGTCCGTATACCGTGTCCGTACCCACCGCTCCTTCCCAAATACCCTCCAGTTGGCGCTCCCCTGACGACAAAGCGTCTTATCGTACAACCTACACGGGAGTAACATGCCACATAAGTATTTGTACGTGGTCTCAATCTTTAGTCATGACTTCAGGCCATCGACATATTTTTATCATCGAGCTGTCATTTCTACATATATTTCGAGACAGGTGTCGTGAGTTGGACGCTGTACTAAGGCACGTGTACATTTGCCAATTCTTCACTGTCAATGGTTTCAACATCAGTTACAGCACAGCCTACATGATAGAAGAACGGGTAAAACAAATCGGTCAATGGTGGAGCTCGGACATGGACAAATGCCAGGCGCTGGTTCTACCCTGCTCTGCAGACAAGTCGATTGAATGTACGTTTCCACGTTCTTTGTATCGCAATAAACCTAGTCTCGCTATCAATTATTTTCTCAACGGGATTCCGTCCCCACCTTTACTGGCTCAGACAGGGTTGCCTTGCTCGCCAACTTTACCGTTGTCGCCATGAACAACCAAGAGCAGTTCTTTTTTTGTCAGAGGTATGTTTTTCTCTCTGGCGATCGGTACTCCCCACCCCGCTTCCAGAGACCCTTTTTAGATATCATATCCACATGTGCTGACCGCGTGTCAATGATGGCTCGGAAAGGGAAGCCCAATGATTAGCTCCTGTCACTCATTGGTGCTTGAACGCTTTGTTCCGCTCCGAGTCCAATCGACGTCGGTGCACGTAATCCTGGTCCTCAATATCACTCTCTTTGGAATTACATCTCAACCCTCGACAGTTCGCCGGTGTGGATGGGCTATATGACAATAACACATAATCACAACAAACCAACTATTCTTCGAGACCTGGCAGGAATGCCACATCAACACTTGTTATATATCAACTATCATTCGTCGATCAATTCTCCCGTATGTCTACAAGTCACTCACTCACCTAGATGACAATCCTTTTACACCATGTGCTCTCCAATTGACATAATGTGTTGTTCATCCGCCTATTTTTGCATCGGCAACGGCGTAACTACTCTAAGCAAGAAATTCCGATCATATCGTGGGCGCCTGTGCTGTCATTGGTCCTGTCTACTCTTGCCAAACATGCTGGGACACCCTGCCGTTACTCGTGTCACTAGGTACCGCATTTAATCCAGCTTGGAGATCTCCGAGAGAGTTAACTCTGCTCCAGCAGCCGCCATTGGCTTTGGCGGGAGCAAATGGTATTCGCTCGTGAGAAGCATTTATTGGACAATGTTGCGAGTTTTCTAGATCCCACCGTTTGGTCTCATTGAAACTCCTCAGATGTGTCGGGGGCAACTGGATTGATATGTTCTGTGTCCCCATCTAACATCCAGCATGGTCACATAACAAGATGGCAGTCGATTTCATTCATGTCTTGTCCCCCGCTTTATTGCAGAGTTTTTATCTTCGTGGCGTGGTGATATTGATAAATCCTTCACAGGAAACCACTCTCCACGATCCTGTTCGTAACCAACACTCGATACAGAACGACCATTTGGCATCGATATCTATCAGGAAAATCAAGCACAGAGTCTATGATGATCCACCCAGAGTTTCCGTCAAAATGTTCGTTGCGAAGGGCAAACGCCACGAGATGAAGGACTAAGAAAAGAATAGAATTGTCTGTCTTTCGTGGTTTGAGGGTGATTACACCGACTGTTATCCAGATGCTATACATACTGCGCCTGGTCAAATTTAACTTAATAGTTCCACTGCGGCCCCCTCGTCCTGCAGGCACACTTAAAGGCCTGCCGTGATGCCGTTCTTCATTGTGTGTTTGGGGATTCGATTTTGGTGTCCCAGGCCACAATGAACCTGAATATTGAATCAATTGAGCAGGTCATCCCCCCTTGCCCCATAATTGAGGGGGCGTCCTGCTATTTGAGGCTATAAAGGTAAAACTTTCACTCCGGCTGCCGAAAAAGGTTGCGTGTCCCATGTCTGGCTCTGGGACACTGCTCCTGACAGAAAATCCCAGAGTGAGGTGAGGTGAGGATTCTTGCCTGGGACACGCCTGTTCCGTCATGGAGCCAGCAAGAAGAACGAAATGTCGTGATTTTGTAGTCCATTGTGCCGTCATTACCTTTGCAGCAGCTCAGAAACTCGAATGACGAGGCTAAGAAATTATCCCTCGCACGACAGTATATTAATTACACGTTCTTACAACGAACCCAGAATTTTCTGCCACGAAAGGTAGAACAAGGGAACGTGTTTGGCTTGCGTAAGTACATGTATGGATAGTGATCCTAAAGTGATCACACAGATGTCGGGACATATGACAGCAGCATCAGTTCGAAGGCTTCTACTATCGGTTCCTACCATTCGGACAAAAACGACAGCATCCCGAAGGCTTCTGGTTCCACTGCTCCACTGCATCGGCTCGCCACTCCTTGGGCAATATCAAAAAAAAATTATCTGGATGACTGCTTCGTCGTAGGCACTTCAAGGATGTGGGAGTCGAGTTAAACTCCTAGAGACTTGGAAGGTGTTCCTTAGCGTCTGATCTCCTAGAATTTATCAATCTCTGTCTGGAATATTGTTGTAGGCTGTCGCAAACACCGTCTAAGTCTGTACGAGTTACATGCACTCCGACAGACGTAGAAGGTGTTCCTTGGAATCTAATGTCCGCGTCTAACGGTATGTATGATAGAATACGCATCAATGTTCGGGACCGGCGTTAGCCAACAATTGATGCGGCACTAGGTGTCCGAAACCCGCAGGAAAGATGGGGGGCCAATTAACGGAGATTCGTTTTCATGAAGACCATGGGCAATTCCGAGGCCAAAAAATGATCCGCGGTCCATAGATGCTGCCAGAGCGCCGATGTTGGTTATCCCAGTGACGGTAGAAATCGAACATTACCGCATCAAATAGTCTCGGGAAGAAACCTCCAAGACAGGCGCAACGATAGCTGAGACAAGGGTACGGTGAGTTTTGATGTTTACAAGACCCGTTATTGACAAGATATTGATATTTCTGCAAATGATATTTTTGCAATCAAGCACGCTCGTCATCAAAACAAGCGAACTTGAATGTGCTTGGGATTTTAGAGAATTGATTGTGGGTATGTTGTGCGGGGTGACGTGATGTGGCGGACGCGGAAACGAAAAGAAGTTAGATTTGTTGACTTCTCATTTGTTCGGAGGTTCGCCTGTAAATCGTTTACACGGCTTTGGCAAATTATAAGAGGACGGGACCCGTCATGTCTGGGTGTAACACAGGGATGTCGACATTGACTAGAGATCAGCGAGCGTGTGGCCTGGATAACCATACACACTGAGATTGGGTTAAATGCAGTGCTTGATGAACGCAATGTTTAGTGGCGGCCATGGTAATCACCCCAAGAGGGTCGCCACGTTCATTTGAGTATTTGGAACCAATGGGAATGAATGTGTGCACGAGGTGAGATGCCGCAACGTCCTGCTCAGAGTCCGAATGACATGTCACCAATCTGGAGGAGCAAAAGCCAAAGATTTAAGAAAATGCTTATGGAATCACCGTTGGAGGTATGGACATGGATTGTGACTGAGTCTGCGCTTTGGAGCGTCTTGGCTGTCCTGAGCTAGATCCATTCGGTAGGAAGGTAACAAACGCAGCGAAGTAGTAATCAGATCGCAATAGTAATCAGACAATCATCGGGTGACTCTCGACCCGGCGGCCTGTCATGGTCACGGTGCAAGGTACAAAATAAACAAATTTTGACCGGCGTGTGCCAATCGAAAGAACCAAAGAACTGGAAAGTAACAAGGTAACAGCGTCACCGGGGACTTTGGACGGCTTGACCTGTCTTGATATAAAAACTGGACAGTGCTTTTACTAGCAGACCACTGCCGACTTTGGTTTTAGGTACACGGCAGAAGATGCCGACATGGCTAAAATGAAACTCCGCTCGAATATGTCCAGGCTTAGTTGTGTGGGGGAGGGTGGCTCGGCGACAGCGAGAAACGTTTAAGGATAACAACTTCTATCTTGTCATCGTCATGACCCACCAGCAGCGCCCGTCGCTGGCCCTCGCACCGTCGGTCAATACTACGACGTATGTTATACTCATTATTCTAGCTTATCTGAGCCGTCGTTGACGCATATACTTATTGACCAGGGTAGTCACGACCACGACGACCACGACCACTTACGCGCCGATACAACTACCACCCCTGCCACCTCCGGCTGAGCCAAAGGACCCTAGAGAATATCCTTTGCTTCATGCTAAGTTTCCTTCATCCATCAAGAGATTCCCCCTTGTGTTTCCTAATGGCTCTCGTGCGACATTCCGCGACGGGACAGACGGCGAAGGAGATCTGGACGAGGAGGAGCCAATTCCAAGTGGAAAGGGCTGGACAATGGTAAGACCCGACTCAGCCGGCAGTTCAAGCAAGGTTGTTGGGCTGGTGGAGGCGGTTGAGCGCTATGGCAGAAAAAGGTCACACGGCACTGACAATATGATGGAGGGCGTAGAGCCTACGACTGAGCGCGAAACACATACGCCTCCTCGAAAGAAGGCAAGGGCGACACATCTTCCGCCGATTACTACTTTGAATGCAGCCGCACCTCCATCTCCATTACCATCTCCTCATGGGTCACCACCACCACAGCCTATATGGCCTTCTGCACCTCCTAGTGGCGCCTCTTCCCCACAACCTCAAGCACCACTACAACCAGATCTTGCCCTAACGACCCTTCTTACCCTTCCTTCTCTTTTATCACATTTTACAAGTCTTCCGCAACCGTTACAATCTCATTTCCTCCTTACTTTATTACGGCATTCTCCCTTACCCGTTCTGCGGACGTTGCATTCTATTTTAACTCCGACTCTGGCGCGTGATTTTTTAACATTACTTCCCCCAGAACTTGCATCCCATGTTCTGAGTTTCCTTCCTTATTCTACTGTAGTTCGTGCCTCCAGAGTATCCAAAGCTTGGCGCGTCATTATCGACTCTGATCCTGTACTTTGGTCAGATCTACTCAAAAGTACCAAGATCTGGTTTGGAGGCGTTACAGAGCGAGCTTTTGCGCATTCAATCTTTGCTAGACGTCGCCTCAATATTCCCCCTACTCCCAAAACCCTTCCCCTCTCTCATCCATATAAGATGCTCTTCAAATCCCGACAACTCACTCGAACTCGATGGGTGGACAACGAGAACCCGAAACATCGATCCTTCCCCGCACACGGCTCCTCTGTCGTCACTTGTCTTCTTCTCTCACACGGACGCATAATATCGGCGTCCGATGATCACTCAATTCATGTGTATTCCCCTTTGACAGGCGAACTCCTGCAAATGCTGGATGGCCATGAAGGTGGCGTATGGGCGCTTGCCGCCTGCAAAGATACGCTCGTCAGCGGGTCGACTGATCGCACAGTCCGAATTTGGAATCTTGCAACTGGTCGATGTACGCATATATTCGGCGGCCATACAAGCACTGTCCGATGTCTGGCTATCGTCAAGCCAGAGTGGATCGAAATCGAAGGCGACAGCGGTGTCATTACGAGGGAAAAGTGGCCAAAGCGGTCAGTGATCGTGACCGGCAGCCGTGACCACTCCCTTCGTGTGTGGACGTTACCTCGCCCCGGTGATCCTGAATACAGATGCTATGGTGCAGATGACTCCGAGGCTGACCCAGCTGATGTAAGATCGTATAAGGCGTTTCGCATTTTGTTCTCATATCTTTGATTTGCAGGAGGATGCAGATGATAATCCGTATCATAAGATGCATCTAGAGGGTCATGACCATGCAGTTCGTGCTCTCGCCGCCCGTGGCCGCACCCTTGTATCCGGCAGCTATGACTGTACTGTAAGAATATGGGACATCGTCACTGGCGAATGTAAATGGGTGCTTGTGGGCCACACACAGAAAGGTTCGTATCCCTGTATACCTTGAAACCCTGTCATTAAAGACCCATCCCTAGTGTATAGCGTTGTACTTGATATCTACCGTCAGATCGCCTGTTCGGGATCTATGGATGGCACTGTTCGTGTGTGGAACTTACGCACAGGGCAGTGTCAACATACATTGACTGGGCACACATCGCTCGTCGGCCTACTCGGCCTCTCCCCTTCCCACCTCGTTTCCGCCGCCGCTGACTCCACTTTGCGCATATGGGATCCCGAATCTGGAGAACTACGCCACACTCTTGCTGCCCATACGGGTGCTATTACGTGCTTCCAACATGACGAGTTCAAGGTGCTCAGCGGGTCAGATGGTACGCTCAAGATGTGGAACGTACGCGATGGTACCGTTGTCCGTGATCTCCTGACAGGCATCCAGGGTGTTTGGCAGGTAGTCTTCGAGGGTCGCTGGTGTGTCGCTGCCAGCAATCGAAATCCTGCTACAGTGCTTGATGTGTGGGACTTTGGCACTGATGAGGATGAATGGATTGGAGAGCCTCCAAGTGGTTTCTATGATGACGACACTGAGGAGGAAGACGAGGGGGAAGAAATAGAACAAGCGGATGTAGACGCCATGGACCAGGACCTCGAAGTGGAAGTTTCTGAGGAGTCTGCAGAGCCCGAGGAACCTCAGGAGTGTGCGCGTGACAGCAGCCAGCCGCTAGCTGCCGAAGTCGAGGATGTGCCAATGGAGCGAGTGGAAGGCATCAGGGCATCAAAGTGGGCGCCCCCTTCCAAACCCTCCGGCCATCAACGCAATCGCCCAGTCCTTGGTGAACCTTCTAGCAGAGCGATTTCGCACCCAGTGGACGGTATTCCTTCACGCTTACCACCCATTAATGAGACGCCCACGCGTCCCAGAATACGCCAGAAGCAAAGGCGTTAATTGTATGTAATGCATCCTAAAACAAAGTCGCTCATTCTTTTTTTATTTTATCTGGTTGTTTCCATTATGGCTGGCGGTACATATTTGTGGCATCTTGACATCCGTATGGATGGGGACTTGGATCATATTGTCATTTGCAGTATTCAAACATTTGTATCAGTCGCAATGGAATTGAAATTCATCCTGTGTTGTATGTATCCGGGACTCTTGCTAAATCTTCTTGAAATTCCGAGCTGCAGCTGCAGGAAATTGACGGTTCTCGAATCTTGCTCGAATCAATTTCCTGACGACATTTTGTAAATCTGAGCGTGGGATTTCTTTCTAATGAGGCTGAGGTACCGTGGCAAGCCGTAAAGAACCTTTTACCGCAAACCACCATGGACAGCTTCGACAACTTCCAATATACAGATTCAGCTTCATCGTATGGCGGCGCTATCAGCGTTGTAGATGATAATTCCTCTGTATATACTGCAACTACGAACACTGGAACGCCGGTCGACCTAGAAAGTCTCTCTATCGTAGACGATCGCTCCCAAACATCCTCATACAACAATGGACACGAAGGGCACCACCATCACACACCGAGAACTGGTGTAGATGAAGATTTCTATGCTGTTCTTGACGACCTCAAAGACGAGGGTACTATGGATCTCCCTCCTCATGCCTGCAGGTAAGTTTTATACGTATTATTCGTGGGACGTGACTCAATCCGTATCGGTTCCGCTCAGCTATTGTGGGATCCACTCGCCAGCCTCCGTCGTGAAGTGCCTTGTGTGCTCTAAATGGTTCTGCAACTCGCGCGGCAACACTTCCGCCTCACATATCGTGAACCATCTAGTGCGCGCAAAGCATAAGGAGGTTATTTTACATGCCGAGAGTCCGCTCGGGGAAACTACCCCGGAATGCTATAATTGTGGTAGCAAGAACGTATTCATGCTGGGATTTATCCCTGCAAAGAGCGATACTGTTGTTATTCTTTTGTGTCGGTAAGCCTGCCAGGTTGGTACTGAGACTCATATTCATGGCATATGTACAGCCAGCCCTGTGCGACGGTCAGCAAGGACATGTCTTGGAACGCTTCCCTATGGGCACCGTTGATCGATGACAGGTCTTTCCTTTCGTGGCTCGTGAAGCCTCCCACCGAAACCGAACAACTTCGATCTCGTCAGATATCATTCAACCAGATTAACCGCTTGGAAGATCTCTGGCGTGAAAATGCCAACGCCAGACTGGAGGACCTCGAGAAGCCTGGTGTTGATGATGAACCGCAGCCTATCCTTCTCCACTACGAGGACGCATATCAGTACCAGAATATTTTCGGACCTCTCGTCAAGATCGAGGCTGATTATGATAAACGCCTGAAGGAGAGTCAGACTCAGACTGATATAACTGTCCGATGGGATGTTGGTTTGAACCAGAAGAGAGTTGCGTGGTTTTGCTTGCCCAAGCTTGAGAGCGGTGAAGTCAGACTTGCTGTGGGTGATGAATTACGGTTGAGGTACCAGGGCGAACTGCACAAAGCTTGGGACGGAGTAGGACATGTCATCAAGATTCCGAACAGTAAGCTTCATGTCACGAGACAAAGTGTTGCGCTCATGCTCATTTTCTAGACATTTCCGACGAAATCGGGCTTGAATTACGACGGACCGAAGGTGTACCTACCGATTGCACGCATAATTTTGCGGCGGATTTTGTCTGGAAATCCACCAGCTTTGATAGGATGCAGTTGGCAATGAAGACATTTGCAGTCGATGAGAAGAGCGTTAATGGCTACATTGTATGTTCGTCCCTCTATTCTATTGAAGTCGCTGAGCCCCTCGCCAGTATCACAAGCTTCTTGGACATGATCTTGCTCCCCAGGTTCTCCGCACGCAGATGCCTAAACGATTCTCTGCGCCAGGTCTTCCCGAGCTTAACCACTCTCAAATGTATGCAGTCAAGAGTGTTCTGCAGAAGCCCATTAGTTTGATCCAGGGCCCTCCTGGTACTGGAAAGACCGTAACTTCTGCTTCCATCGTCTATCATCTTGCCAAGATGAATCCCGGTCAGGTTCTCGTCT